TCCTGCTCCCGCCGCCCTCTTGGCAATGATTCAGAAAGGTCCTTTTTCAGCCAGTGTCAGAGCTGCTCAGCTGAAGAGGGAGGGAGGAGAGAGAGAGGGAGGGCAGTTGGGTGGGGGAGCCAGGGAGTAGGACTGGAGCTGTGACCACTGCACTGGAGAGAAGACAGAGAAACAGGACAGAAGACTGCTGCAGCCAGCCGAGAGGAGTGAACCTGCTCCTTGCCAGACTGGCCAGCTGTAGAAACGGCTCTGCAGCAGAGAAAAGGGGTGCACCCTATTCTTCTGCCCCATTTCTCACCCCTGGTGTGGGATTTGGGAGACTCCTGGGGCAGACCTCTGGCTAACTTCCCTTCTGGACAGAACCTGAAATTCAGGAGGTGAGGTCCCTGCTCCCCCACGTCTCAGGCCAGAGTCCCAGGACCCAGGCAGGGGGTCCAGCTCCGTGGAGATGCCAGCAGCTCGTCGGTTCCCTGGCCTAGAGCTCTCCTTCCCGCTCCTGGCCAGACTACGGCGAAGACTGTACACAGTGAGTGGGGGGCAGGGGTCTGAGGCAGACTGGGCTGAATCAGCTCCTCAGAGCCAGCGCTAAACCGAGGGGCAGAGAGTAGCGCTGGGAATGGCCGAGAGACACCCCTGTGAGGATTTGACAAGGGGTGGGGGGGGTGGGGGATTCAGGGCCTAGCGGTCTCTCCCCTAAGGTCATTGGCAAGTGTTAGAAAAGTGTATGTGGGAAGTGTGCATGCATCCCAGAGAGCGACACGGGTCTGACACAGGTGTGCAGACTGAGGTCTGAGCTGGGGCCCGCAGAACTAGTGACTGACTGACTGAGCAGGAGGTGGGGAGCGGAGAGCTGCAGCAGTGCTCCAGCTTCACAGAGAAACTTGGGCTGGAGAGGGGAGTTAGGAGTGGGAGGGGACTTGTCTAGGGTCACCCTGGACTTGGTGGCGGGGCTGGGACTGGGACCCTGTCTGCTTCTCACTGGGATCCCAGTGTTCTGTCTTCCCACACGCGTCCCTAGTGGAGCAGCCCTGTTGCCTGGGGTTGGAGAGCAGGGAGGAGAGTATACAGCAGAGCAGGGAGATTTGTTAGCTGGTGTTTTCAGGGAGAAGGAACAAGCTGGACTGTGCTTTTCAGGGGAGGGGCCTCTGGTTCTTGCCCAGCCCTGACCACCAGGGCGTGGCTTTGATGTGTTCTCAGCAGCAGCTGCCTCGTGCCCCCAAGGCAGGGTAGGAGTGGGAGCCTGGAGCCCTGGAGCTGGAGGTCTGGGAAGGAAGACATCAGGACCCTCACACTGCTTGCCCTGGTGGCAAGCCGCGTGGGGGGCTGAGCCATGTTGGGGTGGGGTCACTTTGCTCCAGTGACGGGATGATAACAGTGGACATGCTGGGCCTACCGTCCCCGCTTAGGCCAGGGGAAGACACTGCTGAGGTCAGCATACCTTTGGGGCTTTCTTCTGAAAAGCAGTGGTGCCCTGCCCTCGTAAGCCCACAGCCCCTTGTTTGTAGCAGATGGTTTTGTTGAGTGTAAGTGAGTTAATACAGCAAAATGCTTAGAACTGTGCCTAGCATGTAGTAAGAGTAGTTGTTGAAGTATGTTGCAGTTGTTTTTATTATTATCTTTCGAAAATAAAATTAATAGAAACATAACCCATTTACTGTGTTATGTGTGTGTATAGTCAGTCAGCGTAATGCCGCCTGTAATGTGAAGGAGAAATAAAAGGAAAGTAATTATTTCGTGTATTCTAATATGTCAGGACTCTGACATAATGAAGTAGGTGCTAAGACCTCCTGTAGAACGACCATGAAGGCAACATCTACAAGTGCTGACTGAGGGGAGTTTTGAACTAATAAGGATGGGTTGCCTTCAGTGACATTTTTTTTGAATAGCAAACAGCTTTGGTTAAGTTCTGAACAAAGCAAAGGCCAGTCTTCCCTTAGGTTAAACGGTAATTCTAAGAAAATTCAGTGTGTATTAAAACTATAAAAGTATTCCTGTTCATATGTAGAATTTTATTCTAGGTTCAGATGATTATAAATAAATTTTTTCACCTGCGTGAGTTAAGTTGCGTGAGATTTGAGACAGTATGTGAGGCTGTCCTGTGCCTTTTAGGGTCACTAGTGTTCTTGTTCCCCAGCCACCCACTAAAGGTCACTAGTGGCCCCCCAACATTGTGACAACCAAAAATATCCCCTAGGGGGCCGTATAACCTATGTGAGAACCATCTGGACAGCGGGTTATGGCTTAAAAGTTTGAAAAGCCCATCTGGCCCAGCCACCTTGGTGGAAGAGCCAGAGTTTGAACTGAGGATCTCTCATTCCCATTTGTCCCTCTATACTACCCTGAGCTGCCTGGGAAAGTCAACTCCTGGCACTGGGTTGACAGCACTTCTGGGAATTGTGGGGGCAGGAGGCTCACACTGGGCCCGAGCTGCAAGTGCGTACTTCTCAGTGTGACCTATGATGAGGGCTAAAGGACGAGGTCACCTCTGATTTGGGGAGGAGAGGGTCGTGGGCAGCTGGCCTTTTCCTTCTTACCTGTTTCCTCAGTGGGGATTGAACACAGGTCAAGCCCTTAGCTTTGAGGTCTTACTTGGACAGGGATGGCTTTGGTGTCCGGTGGGTCAGGCTGCTTAGCTTTGAGGGTGCCATAGGCCTCTTTCTCTGGGCCTAAGAGAGGGTAGGTCAGAGGTCACTCACTGGTAGCCCTTTGGCTGATTGTAGCCTGTACATGTGTTTTGTTTGGCCAGCAGAGAGAGAGTGTGTGTTTCAAATTTGAATTAGTTGACATAGTTAAAAAGGAGAAAGACACAATGTTAAGTGAAAACAAGGAACAAGGTGTGAATATTTGTGTGTGGGAAAAACAATCTGGAAGGATACGTAAAAGTCATTAATGGCATATGGCTTTGGGGATGGGGAGCTAGGTGGCTGTGGAATTTGGGAGGGAATGAGACTTTATGGCTCCTGTGTGCTCTTTGAATATTTTAGCACGTGCATATATTACTTTTTCAGAAAAAAATTTTAATGGCAAGATTTCACATGTACATTCAGATTTTTCGAAAAAATTGACAGCTTTGACAGCACTAGGCTATAGTCTGTTGTGACAGCGGTTGACAGGAGCTGAGCGGTGCTGTCTCTTGGAGCTGGGTGTGAAAGCCTACCCCACCCTCACCCCTCCCTCACCCTCACCCTCGCCCCTTCCTCTTGTCTTCCACTTGCTGTGGTCCTGGAGGCACTTGAGTGGAGGCTTGTGGAGCGGTCTTTGGATTTGGAGGGAGAAGCTGTGGTGATGTCAGGCATTGAGAAGAACTTAGCTAGAGCTCATCTAGGCCTGAGCTCTTCCTGTGGGGTCTGTCAGGTCTGGGGAGCCCATGGATGGGTCCCAAGGGACACTGTACCCCCGTCAACATTTTTTTAATCAAAACTTTATTTCTCATGGAGACACAAATCTATAGTTGTCAGCAGATACTCAAACGGCTTATGACCTCAAGAGAGTTTGAACCGATGGGGAATCTGAAAACAGAGAGGTTGATCTCAGGTCACTCAGCCACGGATCACAGATTTTGGGAGTGAGACCTGACTCCAGGGCCTGTACTGTATCCCAACTGCCCTAACTCTACCCTTGTTGCTGGCAGCAAAGGGGAGCAGGTGGTTGGTCATAGGCTATTCTGTACAGCTAGTTTGAGGAGAAAGAAAGTGGTTTGAATCCTTCCCTGCAGCAGCATAGTAAGATGCGTGTGAGCTTGGGGCAGGGTCCTGTTACCTCCCTGCATCTCTTGGTCACTGAGTCATTTTTCCCTCCCCGTAGAGGCTGGGGAGCAGCAGCATGCAGCCGGAGGAGGGCACAGGCTGGCTGCTGGAGCTGCTGTCCGAGGTGCAGCTGCAACAGTACTTCCTGCGGCTCCGTGACGACCTCAATGTTACTCGCCTGTCCCACTTTGAGTATGTCAAGAATGAGGACCTGGAGAAGATTGGCATGGGACGGCCTGGTAGGTGGGGACATGGGCCTAGCTCGTTGTTTCTCTCTGATCATTTACCTCCTCTGTCCTTGGGATTGCCAGCCATATGGAAGAGCCCTCCCCACCTTATTCCAGAGGTGGCATAGCTGAGAACTCTCCCTGCCTACCCAAGAGTCCCCATGATGGGGTGGGGGGGCCTCAGTAGATGTCACATATAATGAGTGCATGAGAACAGTTTGCACTTGTAAAGGTGAAGCGGAGTTGGAGGAGTCTTACTTAAAGCTCTAACTCCCACCTCTTTTTGTTTTTTCAGACCTTTGTAGGATGTATTTCCTCCATCTCCTCCTCTTTTATACATGTAGAATTGAGTCTGTTCAGAATATCTTGAGGGGTCAGTGTCCAGAAATCTGTATGAAGAAGAGATTAAAAACTCTGATTTTCTTTTAATCTGTGTCTTTTTTTTCTCACGAAGATCTGCTCTTACTTGAACTAACTCTCCCCCTTGCACAACAATCTACTCTATAAGTTGAACTCATTTCTTTTCTACGTATTGATCCTAAAAGTAGTGGTTGCAGCATCTAGAATTAATGGTGTTTTTTTATAGGACATTAAAAACTTATTTGTGCATTCAACTTAGAATAACTAAATAAATAATAATATGCTTAACTGATAATGCTACTGTTGGCCTGGATAATTGATATTTGATGCCGGTAACGTAATAACATTTTATAGGAGAAAAACTCAAAATTGGGAAAATTCTGTTACCTCGATTTACTTTGTTCTCGAGAGTTGGGAAAAGAGCACTACTGTTCAATTTTGGTGGTTAAAAGCCTCCGGCCCAGTTCAAGAACCTTCGCCTAGTTAGTGGAATGCAGTGACCATCTGGCTAATTGCAGCCCCTGGTTGGTTGGGATGCTTTGTTTCCTTGGTGTCATTGTGCTGGGCAGTATCTAGTGGTGGACTCACCCCAGGGGACCAAGGAAGCGTGCAGGTGGGCAGCAGTCTCCCTGGGGGGCTTGAACATCCTTAACAGCATGGGGTTACCCTTCCCTCCCTCAGGCCAGCGCCGGCTGTGGGAGGCTGTGAAGAGGAGAAAGGCCATGTGCAAGCGCAAGTCCTGGATGAGCAAGGTGGGTGGACGAGGAGTGAGACGGGCTGGTCTCAGGGGTCCCACTCTGATGTCAGGGGTCCTACTCTGATGTCAGTCCTGGGAAACGTCCCTCATTCCCGGGCAGTATAATCTCACACTTTGTACAGACCTTCCTCCTCCAGGGTCTTATCGGGCAGGGTACTTGTAGAGCTGCCTGGCCAAGTGTCTGTCTCTGCCAGAGACAGCACTTGGATACCCTGCGTGTAGCCATGGCTTCACATCCCCTCCTGCTATATGGTGATGCTAGGCATGGAACAGGCGCTGGTTGACAAGTGTGCCGTAACTTGAGCCCTTGCTCTCTCTGAGTGTTGGGGCCAGTGTGTAGCATGAGGTGGTGGAGACTGTCTGGACCCAGGACATTTTTGCTTTGTTTCCCTCCTCCCGCACCCTCCTTAGTCCATGTAGGGTTTCTCTGGTCATCTGGCCTTGCTGACAGCTTCCTTCCCCACAGCCTCCTCTCACCCGCTTTGCTCTAATTTGGGTCTGTGGAGTAGTGAGTCCATGGTCTGACTTAGTGGAACTTTGCCCATTGTCTGGAACACAATGCAAGAGGAAGTGAAGCAGCCAGGGCCTTCCCTCCCCACTTCTGGCCTCAGGGCTGGAAGGCGGGCAGGCAGGACAGAACAGCTGGATGGGGATTGGGCAGCATAGATTTCCTGGCTGTGATCTGGCAAAGGAGCTGTCTCTTGGGATCCTGTAGCCTTTTCTGGGGACATTGTCCTGGTCCCTTGCCCAGGTTTTAGGGAAGGATGAGTGTGTTGGGGCGGGCGAAGGCAGGAGGGAAGAGCTGTGCCATGTATCAGGATCCAGGGGTCTTGGATCTGCCACGGCATGCAGGAGGTTCTCTGGCCAGTGAGCCTCTCCAGACTTGAGGCGGCTCTTTAGTAATAAGACAGTGCTGGTCACACTTGCCCAGTTCGTGTCACTCAGGCCATGGGGAAGGTCCTTGCCAGCTGAACATTGTTTGCAAATATAAGGGATTCTAGTTACTGGGAGGAAGGACAGAAAAACCTCCTTGGGAGGGGCCCTCAGATTGGAGACATCCCATATAGATAAGGTTCTGCCAGCCTTAGGGACAGGGGCCTGGCTGGGCAGATTCTGCAGCCTGAAGCCAAGGCTTTAGATGCCCAGTAGGGGTGGCCAAATCAAACTGAGGAGCCAGCTCTGACCCTCAGGGCCTCCTTCCTCCTGTCCCCGCACCTTTGGCCCCTTCCCTCTCCAGCTCAGGCTGCAGAGTTCTCTTCAGTCTTCCTCTTTTCTAAATCCTCAGCTCTAGGCATCCCTCCAGAAACCCAGCTGTCTTCCCAGGCCCTTCCCCAGCAAGGCCTTGCTTCATCTGCACCCCACACACGCTCATGGTCCAACCTCAGGCTCAAATTATCCTCTCCCCTGGCAGGATGAAGGGCAGCCGACTCCCCAGGGAGGGTGGAGATAGACAGTGCCAAATGGGCAGCCCGGAGAAGGGGCCAGGGCTAAAAATGGACAGAGGGGTGTTTATAGCAGGCCCCTCAGGCTCTTGCCGATCTGCTTGGGTTAGGGGCTAGAGTCTCTGTTGGGTAAGGGGTACAGGGAGGGATGGGTGGGGCAGGAGGTAGTGCCTGGAGTGGCTTCAGGCTGTCTCAGACCCCCCAGCTGGGCGTGGGGCCACAGTAGCCATAGGCTACATGCCTGTCAGTTCATTTCTGGCACATACCCTGAAGCCACACTGAGGCTGTGGGTTCCTGTTTGGGGGTATGGTCAGGAGGGGTGTGAGCCTCTAGCCAGGCTGCCCCCTAGCAGTTTAGCAAAGCCAGGACCTATCTGGAAGCCTAGCTAAGGGCCCAGTGGGACAGGACTGAGTGACTGGCTCTGGGGCCTCAAGAGTTCCATCTGGCCTCTGGCTGCCTTCAAACAGGTGTTCAGTGGAAAGCGGCTGGAGGCTGAATTCCCCCCTCATCACTCTCAGAGCACCTTCCGGAAGACCTCGCCCACCCCGGGGGGCCCAGCAGGGGAGGGGGCCCTGCAGAGCCTCACCTGCCTCATTGGGGAGAAGGACCTGCACCTCTTCGAGAAGCTGGGAGATGGCTCCTTCGGCGTGGTGCGCAGGGGCGAGTGGGACGCCCCCTCGGGAAAGACGGTGAGCTTTTTGGGTCCTGTGAGGCGTGGCAAAGGGACAGGCCCCTCTGCCCTCGGAGGTGGATTTGTCCCTCTGCTGGGATATGAAGGGTGCTGGGGACGGGTCGCAGAGTGGCTCTCCCTGGAGTCCACTCAGGTTTAACTACACATGTCTGTTTCTTTCTTAAATTACAGAAATAATTTACTTATTATAAAGTTTGGAAACTATTTAAAAAGCGAGAAAAAAAATGCCTGTAATCTCACCACTCAGAAGAAACACAATATTTCTGCCTTTTTTTCCCCTTCAAGTATTTTGTTGAATTTAGTTAAGATACAAATTTTGGATATAACTTTTAAAATCTTGCCTTTTCTTTTGGTATTGTATTTAAAAATTTTCCCCAGAGGGGTAGATAGCATGTATATAATAAAACATACAGTGCTTCAGTGAATAGTTCAGTGAATTTTTACATATGCACAGACTCAGGTAGCCACACCCAGATCTGGATATACAACATTGCTGTCATGCCAGAACCTCCCTCCTGCTCACACTGAGTAGCCCCTTCCTCTAGGGGAAGCACTTCTGTCACCCTAGATTAGCGTTTTTACATTATATTTAAAGCATTTACCTTTTATACCAAAACTATTTTTAATATTCTATAATATTTTAGTGTCCTATCATACTGGTCATCTCTTGCCTAATGGTTGGCATTTAACCTAAGCATTCTCTGAGGAAGGGGAGGTCCAGTGGATGGCCTCGGGGTCAGCCAACTGCCCTCATCCAGCCAGGCCAAGGTACCTGTGGCATGCTCACCCACCCGGATGAGCAGATCTGAGGCCAGGATGTTTGAGCTGAATTGGAGGGAGGAGAAGGTTGCCTCAGTATTGGGGACTGGGGCCTGTCTTGACTCCCTGCAATCCCCACTTGGGGCAGGTGAGCGTGGCTGTGAAGTGTCTGAAGCCCGATGTGCTGAGCCAGCCAGAGGCCATGGACGACTTCATCCGGGAAGTCAATGCCATGCACTCACTTGACCACCGAAACCTCATTCGCCTCTATGGTGTGGTGCTCACGCCACCCATGAAGATGGTGAGTACTGTGGGTGGGAGAGGCCGGTGGTCTCTGGGCCCCAGGTGTGTCCCTCCTCCTGCCTGTGCTGTGATTTACTCTTTACATCTTGGTGAAGGTCCAAGGTCCCCCAGACCCTGCTTTGGTCCCCGACCTGATGTGGCAAAGGGTTCACAGTGGTCTAGCCTGGTATTGACTATGCCTGCAGGAGCCCGTGTCCATCTCTGCATTTTGCTTGTGTTCATTGGCAGAGAGTTGTACCCATGGGAGGAGCTGGCCTTAGAGTTTAGTGCTTGAAATTTCTAACCTGAGCCTCTTCGGGTTGTTCCTCTGGGCCTCAGTTTCCCACATTGCCTAGAAGGAGAGGCTTGGGAAGCTGTAGGACTCCTAGAGGTCCCTAGAGGACAGTCCAGGAAAGCATCGAGCATGGCTCTGATAGGCCCTTAGGAGGAGACTGGGATCCCAGCACAGAGTGCTGAAGGAGGGGCAGGACTCAGCCTCGCTTATTCCTCCTGCCGCCTCTGACTTCAGGTGACAGAGCTGGCGCCTCTGGGATCATTGTTGGACCGGCTTCGCAAGCACCAGGGCCACTTCCTTCTGGGTACTCTGAGCCGCTACGCTGTTCAGGTGGCTGAGGGCATGGGCTACCTTGAGTCCAAGCGCTTTATTCACCGTGACCTGGCTGCCCGCAATCTGCTGTTGGCCACTCGAGACCTGGTCAAGATCGGGGACTTTGGGCTGATGCGAGCACTACCCCAGAATGACGACCACTACGTCATGCAGGAACATCGAAAGGTGCCCTTTGCCTGGTGAGGGGCAGGCGACTTGGGCTCACAGGGCCTGCACTTCACCCTGTCCCACTCTGGTCCCTGCATACCCAGACGTCAGAGCTTCCAAGGCCTCTACACCCACAACCCTTGTCTCTGCTACCCTTCTTGTGTTCCCATCCATTCACTCATCCATCCAGGAACTTTCATGTGCCAGGCACTAGACTACATAGGAATAAGAGCTGTGGGGACTCATAAGGGTTTCCTGAAGAACTCAGTATTAAGTTTTGGAAATATCAGGAGACGTTAGCCAGGCAGACTGGTTGGTGAGCATGTTCCAGGCAGAACTAGTGGCAGACAGGGCTCTTGACTGTGATCGGGGATATTCACCAGCACAGGAAGTGGTCCCTGGCCCTGCCCTTCCCCTTGTGTGAGCCAGTCTTTGTGCTGAGACCAGCATGGTCATCTGGTGTCAGAGGCACCAAAGGAGTTTAGTCCCCCCGCTTTGGGGTGGGAGGAGTTCATCCAGTTCAGCTTGGCAGAAAACTTCTAATCCAGGAAGTATGGTCACCCTACTTAGTAACCGACTTTATATCTAGGGGGACCATACATTCTGGATTATTCCTGTTGTCGTGGAGTAATTTGTAGTACCCCCCTTTCATACTCAAGCATCCTGGTTTGGGTGGTAAATTATAAGGTCACCTATTTCTATGCAGCCCCCTTAAACCAACTCTGAGTTGAGCAGGTTATTCTTATTCTGTTTCACAGATGAAGAACATGAGGCTTAGAGATCTTAAGTGACCTTCTCTGGGTCCTATCCCTTTGAGTGGCTAGGCCAGCTCTCCAGTCCCATGAGAGATCCTCTGATTCTCTATCCAGAGTGGCTTCCTCGCTTTTTATGCCTCAGCTCCCCTGGAGTGCCCCTTTGCCAGCTCTACTGCAGTGGCGTTTCTCCTCACCCAAGGGGGCATCCTTGAGGGAGTGTGCGGATGTTTGGGTGACTGTTTCCACACATTTTGCTTCTTCCCCAGGCCCCATCCAGATTTCCCACCCACACCTTCCTGATGAAATGAATGACCCAAATGCTAGGATCCTGCCCAAAATCTGGAAATTGTCATCTTCCCACCACAATTAGAAAACAGCCTCAGCTCTTATCCCCCTGCCATCGCCCTTTGCCCTTCCTCGAGTCTCTGACCTTCCTTTCCTTGCTTCCCTGAGCTGTGAGCTTCACCTTCCGACCCCAAGCCACATGGGAGTAAAAGCCTTGAGCATAGATGGTTTTCTCAAAGTCTGTGGTCTACATAGTTAAGATATCCTGCCTTGTCCGCTTCATACCATGTTCCCAGTACCTGCTGTTGAACCTGGCACATGAGGCACCAACATGCTTTTTGAATGAGCATTTTATGTCCATTGGGGCTGTTGTGGGTGGGGGTGCTCTGAGAGGCCTTCCGTTTGACCCCTGCTTCTGCCAGGTGTGCCCCTGAGAGCCTGAAGACACGCACCTTCTCCCATGCCAGTGACACCTGGATGTTTGGGGTAACATTGTGGGAAATGTTCACCTATGGCCAGGAGCCGTGGATTGGACTTAATGGCAGTCAGGTGAGAGGGCGGGGATGTGCCCCTCATAGGTGGGTAGTGGTTGATTTGATCCCAACCTGGCCCTGCAAGAACTGGCTTTTACCTGCTGGAGTCTTGTCCTCCACACTCTGTATCTTCATGACCTCTCAGCTGAGCAAAGACAAGGGCCCCCAGCGGTCAGGAGAGGGACAGGCCGGGGCTTGCTGTTATTCTTAGCCCTTGCCACAGCTACCTGTCTGGAGACCCCAGACTCAAGGATAAAGGTCAGAGGCCTGGGGAGAGGCCCTGCCCCCAAAAGCAGACATCTCTGGGATGCAGGCATGGTGGCCCATGCTCCGGTTGCATAGGCTAGAGGGAAGGTGGGAAGTGAAAGGCTGGGTGCTATGTGTGTCCTCAAACTGCATCACTGTGTCCAGATCCTGCATAAGATTGATAAGGAGGGAGAGCGTCTGCCCCGGCCTGAGGACTGCCCCCAGGACATCTACAATGTCATGGTCCAGTGCTGGGCTCACAAGCCAGAGGACAGACCTACCTTTGTGGCCCTGCGGGACTTCCTGCTGGAGGTGAGGGCAGTTCTGTCCATGGGGCTGAGGTGTCCAAGCAGGGGTCCATCCCAGGGTGGGCAATGACATGTCTCCGCTCTTAGGCCCAGCCCACTGACATGAGGGCCCTTCAGGACTTTGAAGAACCAGACAAGCTACACATCCAGATGAACGATGTCATCACCGTCATCGAGGGGAGGTAGGGAGCATGGGAGCTGCGTCTGCATTGTCTTGAAGTGTGCAGGGTGGAGGGGCTGGCTGACCAAGAGCTCTTCTGCATCCACGGTTCTCATGGCAACACATAGGCTGTGGTGGGCCTGAGCTGTGCAAGGATGGGAGGGCAGGCCTGGATCTGCCCCTGAGTGCTTGGGGTTAAGTACGCATGCAGGTGCTCTTGCTTTGGGGGTGTTTTCCTGCCTAGCACCACCTCCATCACCCTTTTCTCACTCTGCTCCAGCCCTGGCTGTGTGGGTCAGAGCCAAACTGCCATTATGGTGAGGCAGCCAGGCCTCAGGACCACAACTGGAGACTCGAGCTCCTAAACTTCCTCCTCTAATCCTCTCCCTCCCTTTTCCTTCCTGCCTCCTCCCAGGATAAGAACCCTTGACTACCCACAGGGGCATAGTTCAGTACCCCAAAACCACTCCACCCTCTTCCTGGCAGCTCCTGCCTTCCCACTGGGCCCCACTGCTCTTGCCCAGGGCTCCCCTCCGTCCTCTGCTGGGCCTCCCACCCTGGTCTCTGTCCCCAGGCTCCCTTTGCAGGGCATCGTTCCTGACCCTTTCCTCCTCTTTACACCTTGCAACACATGTCTATCTACAGGCAGCATCTCGGGCAGCCCCCAAAAGCTCCTGCATGGAGCCGTTCACACCACCCTCTGTTATCTGTGCCTCAGGGTATCTGAGGAACTGGTTGGGGCAGGGCAGGCACCAGGTCCCTTTGGAGTAGGGGGCAAGCATGGAGACCTGGAAGAGGAAGGAAGCAAAGGTAATTCCCTGTACTCTCAGTGACTCTGACTCAGAGCCAGCAGAGATGAGGGCTGGGTTGCTTTCCACAGAGCCTTTTCTGCCTGGACTTTAGGTTTGGGGATCTGTCTGGCCTTTGGTTAAACCTTGTGCTACAAGTGGGGTTGGTACAGGGGAGAGCCTCTGGGTCTCAGTCAATGGTGGAGTTAGTCCTGGGACTTAGGCTGGTTGTGGAGAAACGAAACCTGCACTGCTGTGGCCCCAGTACCTCTTCCCCAGGCCAGGGCTCCCCTCACCTTTGGGCACAGTATCTGGGAATAAGAATGACATACCAACAGCTTAGTGGCAATGGACAAAAGCAGAAAGTTTCTAGGAGGAGAGACCTGGGGGACAGAAAGGAATATAGTCTGTGGTTTGGAGCTGAGGGGCCAGGGAAGGGACTGTAGGCCTGGCACTCTGGGGGAGCATTCTGGAAATAGGAAGATTAGGGGTGAGGGCCCCCCATGGAGGTACATGTTAGGACCATAAGCCAGAAGTCTGGGTCTGCAACCATTCTCACCTCCAGGAACCAGAGGGCTTTGGACTTGACCCCTCTGTGCCCTGTAGTCCCCAGGTCTTGACTTCTCCCATCCCTTGCTCTCAATGGAGGCCTGTGTGCCAGGGCCCAGTGTTTCCCAGGGCTGACTCGGGAGCTTCCTATTTTTCAGGGGCGTGTGTCTCTGGAGCTAACGCCCTGGGTCATGTCTGGAGCTGGGCAGGCAAGGGGAGGGGTCAGGGAGCCCTCTTCTTGGGAGGCTGCTGTGGGCATGTCCCGCCCTGCCCTTCCATCACAGGCTCCTTGCTGCCTGCCAGTGTGGGCTCTCTGGGCTCCTCCTCCAGGGCCACCAGCCGACTTGGACCACAGTGCCTGCCCTTGGTCCTTGGAGCTGCTCAGGATGTGGGAGGTGAGGGGCAGGAGGCCATGACAGCCGGTGGAGCTTTGGGAGTGGGCCTGTGTGTCGGTGGTACCAGAGCTTTAACTCTGCCCCCTTGTTTCCATGGTGCCTGAATCTGTTTGGCTAGTTCTGTCTCCATGTCTCTGGGTGGGCGGGCTCTCTGTGAGTGTCCCTTTGGGCCTGGGTTTGTACTTGTGGGTCCCTGGCTGTTTCTCTGTCTCCTCTTAGTCTGGCTCTGAGCTCTCTCCCTGTCTGTGCCCTTCCGTTGGTCTTGGATTTCATCTGGCGGAAGCTGTCTTCAGCATTTGTTTCCTAGTCCAGAGTCTGGGAACCCCCTGCCCCTGGCTCTGACTGGTTCTGAAGGCTTGGGGTACCAGACAGTGGGCAGAGAAACACTTCACTGTTCCGTGAGTCAAGCTCATGAGGCTCAGTCTAGACAGGGGGACAGACAATGTCTGCTCCTTCCAGGGGGTCTTACTTGGAGCCTGGGATGGCTTGCAGCACTTCTATCTTCTGTGTTTATTGAGTTGGAGAAGGGGGATACAGGTTTTTGAAATCCTTCCGTAGGTCCTTGGCCTGTCCTGGACCCTGGAGCCTCTGCTTCCTGTGGTAGGTGAGGGAGGAAGAAGCAAGGGTCTGTGTTCCTCAAGGCCAGGGGCTGCCTGGGACACCCAAAGAGAAGTGGGTGGGGTGGCGTTTTGAGCAGAATGTTTAAGCCACATTTGTCAGCCATTTGTGGATTAACTTAGGCCAGGACTGGGACAAGGGGCCGAGATTTCAGAGGCTGGTCCCTAGTGGAGTTGGGATATCTTTAGGTAGTTCTCAGTCCAAGCCTCAGCTTCCTAGGTGCTGCTTCACATTTTGCTTATTCCAGGACACTGACAGGTAGCAGGAAGTAGAAAGTTTTTGCTGGAGGTGCTAGGCCCTTTCCTCACACCCTAGGGACTCTCCTTCTGTGTCTTTGTCTGTCTTTGCTGCAGTGACTGTTGGTTGACATGATGGGCCTGGCTCTCCTGTTGTTGCCCAGAATGGACCAAGCTACAGGTAGCTTGGCCCCACTGAGTCTTAGAGGGAGACAGGTGGGCAGTGCAACATAGCTTTGACCATCTTATTGGCTATCTCAGGAGTTAAATTTAAGCCTTGTCAGGGTCAGTGTGCTTGGGGTGCAGTCCCCAAGGGGCCTCTTTCTCACACACGTGCTATCCTCTTGACTCCCCCTCCTAGGAGCAAAGACATTTTTGAGGAGTAATGTCAGGACCCCCAGCAGTCATGGGGGCTCTCTCCTCAGCCATACTTGTAATGAAGGGAGGTGGGCTCGGTGTCCCTTCTTGTTCTCAGAAGTGGCTGCAAAGGGGGTCCACACAGGAAGGGCATGGTCATGGTCTTGGCCATGAGTCCATTGTGCCCTGTACTGCATGTCTGCCTCGGCTACATTTCTCACCCCAGTTAATGAGCACCTCTGAAGAGGCGTGGAGAGCAGAGTTCAGTATCCAGCCCTGGGGTTGCTGTCTGAGACAGATCTGTGGAGGGGCTCTCAAAATCCAGGGAGTGTTGAGGGAGGGTAGCAGCAGGGTACCTTGGTGCCAGGCATGTCTCCCTACCCTCTTTCCTGGTGGCCCTCAACCTCAGCTGGTCCTGGGGGGTATGGGGACAGCGTTTTTCTCCTTGGAATGGCCCTGCTATTTTCGGATGGGCTTTGTCCCTTCCCGGGTGTTGTCCTCCTCTCTTCTTCCTTCCTTTCCTGCCCTTCCCACCCGGAGGGCAGGGTGGTAATCACAGGGTTGCTGTGTCTGTGGTGGGCCGGTCAGCGACCTTGTTTACAAGGAGGCTGGGCTCCTGTCCCTCCCCTGCCTCACCTCTCAGCTTCCCTAGGACTGCCGTGCTCGTGGGGTTCAACTTTTGATGTCTGGAACAGGCTGTTTGGGGGTCACGATGCCCCAGTGGGCCGCCTCACCTCACGGAGGAGGGTCCTGGTGCTCAGACCTTGCTGCCTCCTTCCAGCCTCCAGTCTCCCCCAGTTCCTCCAGTCTTGCTGCAGTTTGGAGACCTCTCTTTACACCCCTAGCCATAGACAGGTGGCATGCAGGTGGGGGATTGACAGGGCTTGTAGGTTGGTGCCACATGTGTCCACTGCAGCAGCATAAGGCTGTCACCACCTCTGCCTTAGTCCAGATGTTGCCCACGTTGTCAGAGGTGAGTGACCCCAGCAGCAGGTGCAGGAGCCTCGCCTATTGGTTTTTTGGCATTCGAAGGTGTTCTGTTCTTCCTTGCCACCCCAGGGGCTTGGGCTGCCTGACAAGTTGTGTGTCTGTCTGCAGTCAGAATGAAGGGCCAATAGTCCAGCCACACTGGGAGGCTGGGTTCCCTTCTCGCCCCTTGTTTAAGATGGGATTAGAGCTCCTTCCAAGGAAGTGGATGGGATGAGGGCGAGGGTCCCACAGCTCTACCAGTAGCTTGTGAGAGGCACTGGAGATACAGTAACCGGTGACGTGAAGGCGTGGGTTGCCCCAGGTGCTTCCAAATGCATGAAGGAGCTAGATTGTGGTTGGAGGGCTTGGCCTCAAGCCCGGTGCCGAGACCATGGTGCTCTCTTGGGCCCCCGAAGCTCATAACTCTTGGTACTGGGCTGAAGAGTGAAATCAGGTGGCCAGAAGAGGACCAGGCTCCAGTTCTTGTCAGAGGAGGAGGGAGGCAAGGTGATATTTGAGAAGGGCTCTGGCTTTACAGACTAACAGCTAGATTTGAATCCTGGGTTTGCTGCGATCTTTGTGGTAACTGTAGGCAAGTCATGTCAGTTGTTTGAACCTGTTTTCTTATTTGTAAACTGTAGGAAAAGCTGTCTTACCCACCTAGGTATCTTACAATAAGGCTGTATGCCAACAGTCAGGTCCTGTACTGTGGGAACAGCTGGGCTTGGGGGGCTGCTAGGCGGAGGCCGGCTGATGGTGGACCACCCTGGTCCTGGGGCCTTGACCCACATGTTCCCTTTTGCCAAGGTGGTAAGATATCATAGTTAATAGTTAAAGAGCTTGGTATGGGAAGGGTCCCACTCCTTGGGGCTGTCACACCACACCCTGGTGCTCACCATGTCATCCCTGTTGGGCAGGGCTGAGAATTACTGGTGGCGAGGGCAGAACACACGGACGCTGTGTGTGGGGCCCTTCCCTCGCAACGTGGTGACCTCCGTGGCCGGCCTGTCAGCCCAGGACATCAGCCAGCCCCTGCAGAATAGCTTCATCCACACGGGGCATGGCGACAGCGACCCCCGCCACTGCTGGGGCTTTCCTGACAAAATCGATGAGTGAGTACTGGGCAGGGCCCCGCCGGGGGATCTGCGGCCAGCAGCCCCTCCCCGGGCATGCAGGCTCTTTCAGTTTTCCAAAGTCCCCGTCATAACCAGAGGGTAGAGGGTCTCTTTTTGCCCAGCAGCTTTTTCCTACCAGCAGGATCAGGGTTAGGACAAAGGATGGATCCTCACTGGCCTTAGGAAGATGGCCTTGGGAGCAGCTTTTGGAAACAGTTCAGTGGGAAAGCCTTTTTCATGACCCCTATCATTTGAGTAGCAATCTCCCTTCTCTTGCTGGTAGTCGCGAGCCCAGGAGATTGGAACTTGCCCTGTCAGGCCCAGGGGTACAAGTCACAGAAAGAGCTCCCTGTGGGGGACTTCAGAGCACACGTTAGGCAGCAGCTCAGCTCCCTACCTGCTGCTCACTCTGCCTAGGATGGGGGTTGAGTCTCCTTTAAGTGAAAGGATGAGGTCACTGCAGGCATCTAGGGAGGATACAGAGAAGAATTAGTCACTTCCTGGGTGCCCTGCCCCTGGATTCCACCTGGCAGTTCTTCATGCCAGGCCTCCATGCTTCTGCTGGCCTCAAGGGGCTTCCAGGCCCCTGTTCTCAGCAGCCATTGTTCCTCTGACTTCTGACACACGTTTTTGCCCAGAGGGCCATGGTGAAACAGACCCTTCCCCTCTTATGTTCCCACACACCAGAGCATTAAGCTCTGGGAGGGCAGCCCCGTGTGTATCACTCACAGAGCCAGGTGAGAGCCTGAGAGAGTTGGGGCAGGAGAGCACAGACACTTCCAGAAGGAAGCCCGGTGCCCTCTGCCCTGCCCCTGGCGTGCCGTGGCCAGCCCAGCCCCATTCCTCCAGGCTTTAATCAGCCACAGTGACTAAGTCCCAGATCCTGACAGTCAGCACAAGGTTGAGGGTGAATTGGGAGCAGAGCGGGTGCCTCCACTCCTGGCAGTAGGGTTGAAGGGTGCCTCTTGCCCACCCTGACCGGGGAGCGCAGCCGGATGCCTCTGGGCCTGGCAGCAAAGAAGAGTGTGCCAGTAGGTGGCTGCCGGGTGTGGGTCGGGGTGCCTGCCGTGGGTCGGGGTGCCTGCCGTAGGGGTGGCAGAGGGCCAGCTCTGCCCTTGTAGGTTGTTCCTGGAGCCCCTACAGCCCTAGGCTTTTTCACTGGCAGTCAGGAGCCCTTTCCTGTCCCCTCTTCACAGCGCCCTCCACTGGTTACAGAGTTGCTCTGTAGAAGGGCGCTGCTGGGAGTTAGAAGTCCTGTGCTGCAGATGCTCATCTGTGAGAGCCTTGGACGAGGTGGTCCCTTAGATGCCCGAGCCCACCGGACAGGCCCGGCATCTCCTCCAGAGGTTTCCTCACTGCCACCACTCCACAGTGGTCACCCGCCCTCTGACCTGGTTCCCTCCCCACAGACTGTATCTGGGAAACCCGATGGACCCTCCGGACCTGCTGAGCGTGGACCTGAGCGCCTCCCACCCAGCCCAACATCTGGGAAGGGTGAAAAGTAAGAGCCCCCAGCTCCCTGGCATACCCGTTCCTCGGCTGGCCTGGGGCACTATCTTTTCAGGCCAGCCCTGAGCTGGCTATTCTGGCTCTGAGATGATGGTTGGGTCAGGGCAGCAGGGGGACAGCTGTGTCCCTGGCTCCAGCTGGGTGTGGGGTGGAAGATGAGAGGCAGCTGTATCCGCCGAGGTGGGCATCCTCGGTCAGTCTTGCGTTGGCCTATGGCCTTAGCTCTCTCCACCCTCATCCTTCTCACCGTGCTCAGAGCCTAGCCCTTCCTTACCCCGCCTAATCCCACTCTCCTCTCCAAAGCCAAAACTACTCCACAGGCTTCATCTTGGCCAGGAGCCTCATCCACCCCCTAGATCCTGGGCCTGTCATTCCGGAATACGGTTTTCCCCATCCTGCCGCCCCATTGCTTCCCATTGCTCTTGGGTTTGTACACTCATTCGCCCCTGTTCACTGCGCTCTCTCTCTTTCTCCACGCTCCGCCCTCTTGTCTGGCTTTTCTTCCTCCCTTGTCCTCTGTCTGTCTTGCTCTTCCCCTCTCTCCCCTCTGCATGGCCCTTCCTGCAGGGGAGCCTCCACCTCGCCCACCTCAGCCTGCCATCTTCACTCAGAGTAAGTGGGGCTGCTCTCGGTGCCTTGGCCCCTGCCCCCTCTCTCCTGTCATTCCTCCTCTCATCCTGGAAGGTACAGAGTCCTGGTGACTGGCTGGGTGGGAGGGGAAGTGGGTGTGTGCTGTGAGCTTTAGCTGGCCCAGCATGCTTGCCTCTCCCCACCCCACCCCCCAGAACCTGGGCTTCTGGAGCAACTGTGTGGTCCCGGCGCCCAGCTGTGCCCCTCTCTGCCATTGCCTGCCTGCTTCATTCCCTTTGGGACTTGCAGAGGCTGGCCTTCCATGATGGTGGGTCAGGAGTTACTGTTGCTCTTATTGGTAGGGTTGCCCATAGCCCCTGCCTGCACTAATGGCCTGCTGTAATGGGGGGTGGGGTAAGGGTTACTAACCAGGGCCCAGGGGTAGGGGCTTATGGGGTCTTGTGCAGATGGAGGGGGCATCAGAAGCAGGCGGGTTTGGGGTTTTGCTTGCTTTAGCTGAGATAGAGGCAGGGGCTCACCCACCACGTAGATGTTTGACGGTGCCCAGAGCAGGCTCTCCCCTCCCGTTTGGACAGGGTCAGTGTGTGCTGAGAGTTTGACAGCTGAGAGGGCCGATCTCCGGGGGAGTTGGAAACACTTGGCTTTTTTCCCATAACCCAGCTTTCCCGTCCGCCTGCCTGACACTGCCTGCCCGGGTCTCCTTTCCATTACAGAACCAACCTATGATCCTGTGAGTGAGGACCAAGACCCCCTGTCCAGTGACTTCAAGAGGCTGGGCCTGAGGAAGCCAGGCCTGCCCCGTGGGCTGTGGCTAACAAAGCCCTCGGCCCGGGTGCCAGGCACCAAGGCAGGCCGCAGCAGCGACAGTGAGGTCACACTCATCGACTTCGGTGAAGAGCCTGTGGTCCCTGCCCCAAGGCCCTGCGCACCCTCGCTGGCGCAGCTGGCCATGGACGCCTGCTCCTTGCTGGACAAGACCCCGCCGCAGAGCCCCACTCAGGCACTGCCCCGGCCCCTGCACCCCACGCCTGTGGTGGACTGGGATGCACGCCCGCTGCCCCCGCCTCCCGCCTATGACGATGTGGCCCAAGATGAGGATGACTTTGAGGTCTGCTCCATCAACAGCACCCTGGTGGGCACCGGGGTCTCTCCTGGTCCCAACCAGGGCGAGACCAATTATGCCTTCGTGCCTGAGCAGGCGCGACTGCTCCCGCCCCTGGAGGACAACCTGTTCCTCCCTCCCCAGAGTGGGAGCAAGCCACCCAACTTGGCCCAGACCGAAGAGATCTTCCAGGTGCTGCAGCAGGAGTGCATGCAGCAACTGCAGGTCCCAGCCAGTTCTCTGGTCCCCTCACTCAGCCCAGTGGGCGATGACAAGCCCCAAGTGCCCCCTCGGGTGCCCATTCCCCCAAGGCCCACGCGCCCACGAGGCGAGCTGTCTCCAGCCCCTTCAGGCGAGGAAGAGATGGCGCGGTGGCCTGGACCTGCCTCCCCTCCCCGGATACCTCCCCGGGAGCCCCTGTCCCCTCAAGGTTCGAGGACCCCCAGCCCCCTGGTGCCACGTGGCAGCTCCCCGCTGCCATCCCGGCTCTCAAGTTCACCTGGGAAGACCATGCCTACCACCCAAAGCTTTGCCTCAGACCCCAAGTATGCCACACCCCAGGTGATCCAGGCGCCTGGCCCACGGGCTGGTCCCTGCATCCTGCCCATCGTCCGTGATGGCAAGAAGGTCAGCAACACCCACTACTACCTGCTGCCTGAGCGCCCACCCTACCTGGAGCGCTACCAGCGCTTCCTGCGTGAGGCCCAGAGCCCCGAAGAGCCAGCTGCCTTGCCCGTGCCCCTGCTGCCCCCACCCAGCACCCCAGCCCCTGCTGCCCCCACTGCCACTGTCCGACCTATGCCCCAGGCTACTCCAGACCCCAAGGCCAACTTCTCCACCAACAACAGCAACCCAGGGGCCCGGCCAGCAGCCTTGAGGGCCAGTGCTCGACTGCTACAGAGGGGATATCCTGGAGACGGGCCAGAGGCTGGACGGCCAGCAGATAAGATCCAGATGGTGAGTACCAGACCTGGCTACTGGGTAAGGAGGGGCAGAGGCCCAAGGGCCCTGGAAGAATGGCCCCAAGTGGTGCTGACGGGTGGGTGGGTGTGCCCAGCTGCAGGCCATGGTGCATGGGGTGACCACAGAGGAGTGCCAGGCGGCCCTGCAGAGCCACAGCTGGAGTGTGCAGAGGGCTGCCCAGTATCTGAAGGTACCACCACCTCCTGCCCACTCTGGATTTCAGGGACCCTGAAGACTGTTCTACTCTTCTCCCCCTCCTTACTGCCCCGCCCCCTGGCTCTCTGCCCCCACCCTGATCTGGTGACCCTTGGCCCCAGTGTGTCCCATGGCACCACCCTCTGCTCTTTAGGTGGAGCAGCTCTTTGGGTTGGGTTTGCGGCCGCGAGGCGAGTGCCACAAAGTGCTGGAGATGTTTGACTGGAACCTGGAGCAAGCCGGCTGCCACCTTCTGGGCTCCTGTGGCCCTGCACATCACAAGTGAGTGAACGCCACACCCTGCCACCTTCCTGTCCCCAGAGGGATGTCCTGGAGCACACCACTCCAGGAAAGAGCCCACTCAGTTCCTTGCAGGCCATGCACAAGCAGGAGTCATGGCTCCCCAGCCAGGAGGAGGGAAGGTGGGCCCCGGTCCCAGGCAAAGACCGTTGTGGATGAGTAGTCTCTCCTAAGCGTACTTATTTAGACTTTTAGTCACTTGGTTCACATGAACTAATGAGTAAAAGGCAGTTGTAGGCTTTCTGGTTACAGGGGGTTTATTTGCCCAGCTCCTCTCTGAGCGGCCTTCAGAGAGCAGCAGTCGAGGACCCAATGATTTAAACAGATGTTTCTCACCTCTGCATTTCACAGTGCAGTTTAAAGTAACACAGTTTTAGTGCCTTTTTAAAGGAAAGTCTAATCAAAAAAATTCATTACTTTCCTGTAAAGAATTTAAACATATACATACCTAACAAAATAATAGTCATAAACATAACAGTGATAGGTAGTGTAAATATACATATGTGAAAGTTTTAGCAAGTCAAAAGTGGTGAGACAGTTTGATCCCAACGTTGTCCCTCAAGAGGCCCTGGTGGAGTGTGGGGTTTCAGAGCAGTGGGGCTGCGGACAGCCCAAGGGAGAGCCCAGCCTCCTGCTCACCACCGCGTCGGCTCACGTACCCGTCCCGATCTCTCAGGGTCCTCATCTGTAAAGCGTGTGAATGACGGTGCGTCTCTTATAGACAAGATTAGAATTTAGGAGGGATGCCTCATCTGTCACACCTCACTGCAAGTGTCTGGCACACACGACACCATTAGTAAATTCTTACTAATTTGCATCCAAAAGTTTAAGCTTTACTGTGTCTGTCAACCTTGGGTACTCTTAATACACAGTCCTGCTGGTCTCTTATTTTTAGTTCTTTAAAGAAAAAAGGCATCCCAGGATGATAAGTTCCAAAATTATTGCCTAGAACTACTAGTTTTCAACCGATATGCCTGGCACTGAGACGCCCTCCTACACTGCGCATTCCATACTCTGTTGCACTAGTCCTGTGGATGGAGGGTCTTTCTGGTTCTTTCCCCTGCTTTAGGCGCTGAGATGTCTGGAGAGCCAGAGGGTCTGCCCTGAAGAACTCCGTTGAGCCTGTCCTTCTGAGGAGGGTGGAGAGATGCCCATCCCAGGCCTGGAGGACTTGCTGCTGCCTGCTGCTCCCAGTGGCAGAGGGAGACCAAGGCAGCAGGAGGCTGGGAGCCCTACCTTGCCTGTCCCTCCCTCACCCAGTGCTGTCCCTGCAACTTCAGTTCAGCCCTTGGTGCCCCTGGCCAAGGTGTAGGAAGGAGCCCTGTGAAAGCAGGCCTGGAAGTGGCCTCAGCAGGCCCTGCGACTGACTAGCCTCTGGCTCTACCGGGTCGGGCCTGTGGCAAGAGTGTGTCCCCAAGTCCTGCCGTGGGGAAGCGAGGCTTGACCACAAGCTGGGAGGATGTGTTGTCCACATGGAAATGTGGACCAGCAAAGGGCTGGGCCCTTCTCCAGGAAGCCCCTGGTGGGCAGTTGGGGTGTTGGACAGAATGTGACTTGTGGCTTTGCCATGGACATGTTACGGGACTTGGCTGGTCTTAGGATCTTGTGCCTAGAAATAGCCTGAGGTGGCTCAGGAAGCAGAGCAAGGGTGCCAGATAGTTCTCTGGCAGGGACCAGGGCCCAAGGCCCCAGAGTTGGAAGGAGACCAAGGGGGCAGCTGCCCTGGAGGGACACCAGTGCTTCCTCTGACCCCACTCCTTCCCTGTGTGTTCCATGTTTCCCCACCAACTTCTGTTGCCAAAGTTGCTTCCCCAGCTATGGATATCTGCTTCTTCCAGAGAAATAAAGTTAGTTTCTATTTTATGTTACTTGTGCCTGCCTGTGTCTTTGCTTCTTGGTCAGCAGCCTGAGGCCTCGAGGATCCCCAAGCCAACTGCCATGTGGCTAGGGCAACAGGCCTCATAGCACCACCTATGGACAGAGGGAAGAAGTGCAGGCCTGGTTGACCCTAAGCGGTCTCTCCCCTTCTGGGGCTGGCCGAGGGTCAGAGACCCCACTGGATGTAGTCACTGACTCACAGTCCCCGTGTTTTTGCTCTAGAGTTCCATAAGGCAGGATGTACTGCACGAGAGAACATAACAATTAGCTAGAGTTAAGCTAGAAATTCAGTAACAAGGAAGGCTTCAGTATGTCTTACGTATTTTAATTCTGTTTTTTTGAATGACTAGTATTTCACAATTTTCAAAATTCAAAAGGACTGAACAGTATAGGGTGAAGTCTCCCACCCCAGCTTTCCACCTCCCCTCCCCAGAGGCTGCATTTATCATCAGTTCTCGTGTGTTTCTTGTTTTTTTCACTTACAGTATTTTGAAGAGTTCCTTAATCACTGAAAGAGCTTCCACATTCTTGTTTAGGGTTGCATGGATGTATGGATGTACATAATCTATTTAACCAGACCCCTTTTGATGAAGGAACATTTCGGTTTCCAATCCTTTGCAGTTACAACCACTGCTGCAATAAACCGGATATGTGGGTTATTTTTCACTTGGAACTGAGGGATGAGTTCCTAGATGTGGGACTCCTGTCAGAGTGTGTGCAATAATGACCGATCTTTCTGAATTGCTCTCCTTAGAGGAGGTGGTTCGGTTGTCACAGCCACCGAGGTGTGAGAGATTTCCATGGTTTTAGCTAGTCTGACAGGTGGAAAACGGTGTCTCTAGTTTTAATTTGCATTTCTCGAATGAACATCTAAAAAATTAGTTGGGCCATTTATATTTCCTTTTCTATGAGCTACCTATTAATACCTTTGGCCCATTAAAAGTTAGATTTTTTGATCTGTTTCAGACTGGTTTTGGGGAAATTACTAGATCAAGGAAATTAGTCCTTTGAGCTTTATCATATTATCTGAATTATAGGAAAAGAGGTAAATCATAAGAAAGTAAGCTGATGGCTTGGGTTTACTGAAAACAGGCCATTCAGGATGGATCCTGGGCCTCTGTGTCTGTGACTCTAGGCTGGCCTGTCTGGTGGGCTGCACCCTGGGAGGTCTGGAGCCTTCAGATCCAGACATATTCTACCTAGCCTGTTCACTAAAGCAGAAATTAAATGATATTTAACTGACCTAAAAAAATTTAGTTAAATACGTAAAAGGGAAAAAATACTAAGTAACTTTTGGGCATTGTTGCTAGACCCAGATTCCATTCTTAGCTGTTTGATCTTGGAAAAGTTACTTAACCTTTCTGAGCCTATAAACTGGGAGAGAATAATTCCTACTTTACAGAACGGTGGTGAGGATTAAATGCAGTCACGTGGGTAAAACATTGTGTTTAGTGCATGGGCCATGGTAAGTACTCAGAAAACTGTAATCATTATACATTTTATTTTTCCATGTTCCTGCCTGCCTCTATCAATAGCTTACATTATACACTCACCACAACTCTGTACACAATTGTCTTCTTTTCACATTTTCCCTTAATGTGTTTTTGAAACTTTTTTTTTTTTTTTGCTACAAAGCCATTCCTATTTATAGGTCATAGACATTTTTTACTCCATTTTTTTAAATCGCTTTTTGGTAAATGATGACCTGTCAGAGGTAATGTATTCCAGAAAGATTTTTTGTAAGGGTGGAGCACTAGAGCATCTGAGGGTCCCTCAGGGGATCAGGTAACTCAGTGTACTGGTCTTGCCGGACACACAGTTCCCTAAATTCCAGGGTTTTCCTGCTGTTTTGCTCACTTCCAATCAATCACTCTGCCAGCTTTTGCCAGCATGTCCTGGGTTTATTGAAAATAATTGTAAGAGAGTGAGGGTGTTGAAAAAGCTGACCCAGGTTGGATAGTCGATATGGAGAGTCAAGTCAGTGAAAAAGATTCGTTGGGCACCTCTGTGTCAAGCCCTGACGTGGGAGATACAAGTTGAACAGCCATTCTGCGCTCTAGGGAACTGTAACATTATAGCAAGAGGATGAGTACTTTCAGAGCGATTTATGCCAGGTGCCTCAAGAGCAGAAGAGGTGATTCCGCAGAGGAGGTGGCTCCCTGGAGGAGGTGACGTGTTGACTTTATGGGGAAGAATGGGCATGCCAGGAAGGTAAGGGCATGAAAGCTTTGCAGGTGGAGGGAACTGCACGTGCAAAGCTATGGAGGGGCAAACTGGCTTGTCCTAAGCTGAACTTTGGCAAGGCCAGCACCCATCCTTTTGTTACATTTTTGGGGCGGGTTGCAAGTGTTTTTTGTGTGATCCTGGTGAGTGTGGCAGGCCTGGATCATGAAGCCGCTGGTGTGAAATGCTGAGTTCTCTGACTTTGTAGACAAAAGCAGAGGAGAGTAAGAGAAATGAGGTAGTACCTGTATTTTTAAGAAACAGCTCTGCTTAGAAGTGGCTCACTACTCCATGAATGGAGAAAGGATTTAGCACACGTGTCACTGCACACCAGGAACGCAAAGGGGTTCATCTTTTGAAGCAAATTGTACAGAAATTTGAACTTGGGGAATGGAAGGACCTGGAATCTTTGGCTAGAGCAGAAGTTTCCACAGGCCAAGTCAGGGCCAGTGCTGGTCTAGGGTCAAGTTTTCACTGGCCTGAGGTGAAATAATATAAACCACACAATTGAAGTTTCCTTAAAATAAAATGTATTGAATTTCAAGAACTGTCTTTATTCTGAGATTTTTGTCTTCCTACATTTTTGGTATTGAAACAGCTATTCTTGTGTCTAGGTGAGTGGTCTCATCTAGCTGTGATGATAGTAGTGGTACGTGGTAAATTTGTCCCCATGCCCTTATGTAGCAATGCTATGTCAGCCTGCTCTCTCGAGCAATTATTTTAATGATCCCTGAAATCTTTCTTCAGAACCCTTAGGAAGTGCTTTCATGTTAGGCAGCACCATCTATTGGCAACATGTGACATTGCAGTCTCAGGCTTAACGTCAGGGGAGGGATAAGACTGTGTAAAGTCATTGCCCAATAAATCAGTTAAGTCCAAAAGCTGCTGGCTCAAGCCCATGAGTGCTTACAGGGCCTCATCTCAGGGAAGCTCGTGGGTGAAGGAACAGGTTCACCTGCCATCTGGAGCCAAAAGGCCAGCTAGGATCTAACGCCAGGAAAAGGAACTAGGTGAGGGGCTCTGTAGGAGGCTACCCCTAAACCTAGGAGAGAAACGTGGGCTACCTGGGAGGACACTGCAGGCTAAGAGAGAGCGTGCAATCACTTGCCAGTGAAAAGTCCTGGGGTGACACAAGTGCCCTTTGGGCAAGTGCCTGTACTTTTCTTGTAATGTTTTTATGATTGTCATACATGCTCCTTGTTGAATGGCAACATTCAGAAAAGCGCAACAAGAGAGAAAATTACCCGGAAAACTACTCGAAATTTTGAAATATTTTCTTCCAGTTTTGTTCCTGTGCCAATATGTGTTGTTATGTATCATGGTTTTATAAAAATAACATCATCTGGCTTGTACTGTCATGTAAACTGCCCTTTTTACTTAATATTTTACACTCAAGCAGTGTTTATTTTTAATTCACTTTCCTAAAGGATATTTGGACACTGCATATTTTTCATCCTATAGAAATGAAGTGTAGAAATTCTGTTATTTACCACATTGTTTTTTTAACATTTTTATTTTGTGACTTTATTTTAACAAATATTGATAAACGGCTTTCCAGAAAGAGTTATCGCCTTTATTAAAATAAAACGTGTTTTTAAAGAGAGGGCTTATATTTTGGAGATATGTTTTAAAATATTTCTGAATGAAGTGATCTGCTAAGGGTAGCCCAGACAGTTGGAAGAAATGGGCCATGAGTTGATAATTTTTGAGGCTGGTGATGGGATGTGAGAGCTCCTCGTGCTACTTGATTAAGAGGATGAATGAACCTTCCCATGATAAAAAGTTAAACAAAAATACATGCACTCTCCAGGTAAGGAAATTCCCACTGGTCCAGCTGTCTCCTCTGAAGCTTTCCCTTTGTTCCCGCTGCCACCACCAGGATGGCCCCCAGGGCTGCATGGCTTCTCCCTTGCATCTTCCTTCTTGGCTCTGGCCCAAGGTGGGCAGAATCTCCCTCTCTTGCCGGCCTTTGTGAGCTAGAGACAAAGTGGAGCTTTACAAACCACTGAACCCAATTCTGAGAGAAAAATCTGCAGTCCTGTCATCACAGCCCCATCATGGGCCCTACCCTGTGTGCTCACCCTTTATCCTAGGGCCTTGCTTCTGAAAGGGTGGCACGAGGTCCGGTCGCATCAGTATTACCTGCAAGCCTGTCAGAAATGGGGAACCCAGGCCCCGTCTTGGACTTAGTGACTGGAATCTTCGTTCTACCAAGATTCCTCTGGGATTCGCGGACGCAATAAACTGTGTAAAGCCTTGAACTGAGGCAGCTACTACACTCCTGGCTCCTTGGAACCGCTGGTCCTCTCTAAGCAGGGCTGTGCTCCCTGCCCACTCTCCCCGATGACCCATCACTCATCCTACCACCCCCCTTTTTTTGAGTAAACAATTTGTTTTTAAAATATACATGTGGAATTTACCCATAGCAGTGTTTATAATAGTAGACAACTAGAAACCATCAAAATGTCTGATCATAGGAGATTGGTTAAATATATTTTATCCATAGTATGGGAAATAACAGCAATCTAATCCTTTAAGAAGTTCAGTTAATATTCAATTAATATTTAAATTGATTATTTCTGAGTGATGAGATTGTGGCTATTTTTTTTTTTTTAAACTTCTGTTCTATTGCAAAATGGTTTCCTGTTACACTTTTTATTTTCAACTTTTTATTGTAAAATATACAATTTTTTTAAAAGCCATCCTTATAAGTATAAGGTGGTATCTTGTGGTTTTGGTTTGCATTTTCCTAATGATTAGTGATGTT